ACAGACAGACAGACAGACAGACAGACAGACAGACAGACAGACAGACAGACGGACGGACGGAAAGACGGACGGACGGATGGACGGACGGACGGACGGACGAACGGACGGACGGACGGACGGACGGACGGACGGACAGACGAACGAACGAACGAACGGATGGACGGACGGACGGACGGGCGAACGGACGGACGCCTGACGTACGGATGAACGGACGGACGGACGGACAGACAGACAGATATACAGACAGACAGGCGCACGCATGCGCGCACACGCACATATACACATGATATTATATATATGGTGCCTGAGACGGACCAATGCGCCATACTCACTGCCATCTTAGAACAAGTCACTGTAGTTGTAGTCACTTAGAACACCAAGCCCAGTAAAGTTGTTTGAGAGCTTTTAGGCGTACTGATATACTAGTACTATGCTGTAGTCTGACGACTCACATCGCTGATAACAAATGGCTCATATTGCTGGGATCGTAATTTGGGGGTCGACAAAAAAAGACACATGGATTGCATAAAATATTTAATACGGCATTGCTTTGGCGCATGTTCTCTGTGTGTTGAGAATAAAACAATTTTCATTATAAAGATCAATTTAGCAGCGCCGTTCAGAAGCGTCAATCTTTTGATAAATGCTCCCAGGTCGCATTTCCAGGTACGAAAATTATGATAGCAAAGTATGGCATTAGAATGCTACAGGCCAGCAGTGCCACCTGGTGAACCCAAATGTAAAGATCATTTCTCGACGAGACCAAGCTTACGTTCCATGTTTTCTAGCCGTCTATAACGCTTCTACATTGTGTGTACAATGCAAATTAGTGCGCTCCAATGCTGTATGCTACCTCGCAAAAAATGAGAAAACGGTTTTTTTCAGAGACGATATAGTGAATGATTCGGAAGGTTATTGTTGCGTGCCCCTTATATAGTTTTAAAACCGAGTTGTACAGTGTACTCACTAGATGTCGCTAGCGTATAATGATTTAGCGAAATTAGTATTATACGCCAAACGACACTACATAGGACTGTATATAATAATATAATAAACCACAAACAGAAAATATTATTAGATCCTTATGATTATTAGATATTACCATTACATATATCATCTCGCTTTTATCTAGTACACCTACTTAAAGAGTTACACCGTTCTTTTCACCATTGTGTGTCTCTCTCAATCTCTATCGCTTTCTCGTTCTTTCTCAACAATATTAAGCCTCTCTTGATAATACTTATTAGCTCCGCGCAAACGGAGCTCATGCAATCGCTCGCGTGTGTGTGTTCGTGTGTGTGTGTAATTTCTCTGAAGTGAGTAAACGGGTATTTGTCATACCAAGACGAGCAGACCGACTCCACGGTCGCCACTTCAGGGGGACTCTTTCGCCTAGGTCCGCGGCGCCGCGGACCACGTTAGGTTGGAGGGGGCCTGCTTGGATGGTTGTTAAGCGGATACGTTGGTCGCTGGTCAGCAGAGTTTAACCATTGAACTGGACAAACACCCCCCCTCTCAAACTAACGGGTTATGGCAGTATATAGAAGTGGAGAAACGGGTATCCCTCCCATAGTCATATATGTAGGTGTATGTATCTCTATCAATTGTTTTTTCCTTCTCTTTTCATTTTTGCGTAATTTTTTTACGCATTCACGTTCATTTTGTGCGCGATTCATACACATTACCCGCGAGTTTAAAAAAAAGATATATTGAACGCGAATTATAACTTTTACGCGGATTGCAATTTCATTTGTCACGAGTTCTAACGTTTCTATGCAACATTAAATATTGTACGGCAGTTTGTTTGTTTAGCTATTATACGCGTTTTATGTCACGTGATTGGGTTTCACGTCACCGTTCAATGTGATGTCTGCGAGGGGACACGATATATATTTTTCCACGATTGTACGCGTATACAATGTCATCCCTTTGTGTAGAGGCGGTCAAACGCCAATTATAACTTTTGCATGCGATCTATAACCTTTTATCCGTGAATGTAAACTTTTGTCCACGAGTTGTAGATTTTGTTCGCGAATTTTAACGTTTGTATGTGACTTTGAATATTGTACGCCATTTTGTTAGCTATTGTACATTTTATGTTATGCGATTGGTGACGGTTCGACGTGGTTCCTACGACAGTACAGATATTATTATCATTCTTGTAGTATTATAGAAACGACCAGGGAAATTTTAAGCGATGAGCGTCGCACGCGATTTTTTTTTACGGAACTACGGTTTATGACGAGGTGAGATAATGTTACGGTTGCGGGTTGAATATATTTATGCTATTGTACGGTTACGGTTGGGTTTTTCAGTATGTTACGATTATACGTTTAAACGGTTCCAGTTTACAAGCAGACATAGCCCAATGATAGTACAGCCAGTCACATTCTCTGTAACAAATTTTCATAGAGGGTTTCTTCCAGTCGGGAGACTGAGTTAAGCCGATTGCATTCGACTTTTTTGGGACGGGGTGAAATGTAGTAGTAAAATGTAGTAGTGAAATGTAGTACCGTGGGAACGCTAGAGAGAGAGAGAACATACAATCGTTCAGGGACGGCCGGCGATGGCTCCACCAGACAACCCGCATACTTAAGAGCGGAACATATAAATTAACATTGACAGTAAGCAGTCTAAAATGGTACGGACGCATTCACTTCTACCAAGAACACAGCTAAAATGTCCACCAGCCATCATTAAGGTACCCCTTAATGACGGTGCTGGCGATCTGTGCAATCGGTCAAGGGGGCACAAACATTGACAATAAACGCAAGAACAGGGCGAGCGGTCGAGGGAGACAGATAAAAGGACAGAGTATCAGGTAGAACGGGAGAGACTCCGGCTACAGCTTGGATTTGTGTACACTGTCACTATTCGTTCGTGG